TTTATTTATTTAGTGTGTGTGTGGCCAGCTCAGCCCACCAGGGGGCGGGCCTGGCTGGCATGTGGTGCTGGGGATTGAACCGCGGTCCCTGTGTTTTGCTTAGCTTAGCTTGTTCTAAGTAGGTGCTTTAGACCACTGAGCCATCTCACCAGGCCCTTGAGCTCATTTTGTAGTCCAGGCAGACCTTGAACTGCTTCAGCCTCTTGAAAGACTGGATTATAGACATGTGCCTGGCTCAAATCAATCTTTGTTTCTTTTTTTTTTTTTTTCCGATACGAGGGATGAAACTTGGGCCTTTGCACTTGCCAAGGAGGCACTTATGCCCCTGAGCTATCTCCCCCAGCCCAGCTCACATTAATCTTAAGAAAACAGATTTTGTCCTATTTTGAGGATATTCTATAAAATACGTGAGCAATGTGTTTCCAAGATGTCACAGGCATGACAAAGAAGGAAAAAAATACAGAAACTGTCACCAATCACAAAAAAGTAAGGAAATATGACAGTGGGATGGTGTCCTGCCTGAGACCCTGGACCAGAACAAGGACACCAGCAGGAAAAGTAGTAAGACTAAAATTAAGTGATAGGCCTGGTGGCATATGTCTGTAATTGCAGCACCCACGAGGCCGAGGCAGAAGGCGCACCACAAGTTGGAGTTACATAGAGTGTTCAAGGCCAGACTGAACTACATAGTGAGATCCTGCCTCAAAACCCCCAAATAATAATAATAATAAAACCCACAAAAACTTTTCTTGTGACTCCACATGTGGTGGTGGCTGGCGTTCTCTGTCCTATTTTGTGTTAACATGTTTTGTATTTCTATAAAGACGGTGGGGCCAGGGAGATGGCTCAGCGGCATATGCGCTTCCCTGGCAAGCGTAAGGGCCTGAGTTCAATCCCCGGTTCCCCCCGCCAAAAAAAGACTGGGTGGCTTTTTGAGCCAGGGTCTCACTATGCAGTTCCGGCTGGAATTGAGCTCACTTTGTAGCCCAGGTTGGTCTCAAACTCACAACTATCCACCTGCCTCAACCTTCTGAGTGCTAGGATTACAGGCATGTGTCCCTTTGTCTGGCTTGGCTGGGTGGCTTTATAAAAGAAATGGGGTACAGCATGAGCTCAGGGTTCTGGGAGCTCAGCGCCAGTCCTCCCTGTCAGAGTCCCCGGGTGGTCAAGGCGTGGCTGGCAATATGAGACGGGCAGTGAGCACCTATGCACTCCGTTCCCAGCCCCTCCTCATGAGGCTGCTCACCCTTCGTGGCTTCTGGTCCTCACTGCCCAAAAGCCGCACCTTGCACACTGGATTCCACCCCCACCCTTTTCCTACGTCACAATAGGGATTAAATTTCAACACGTGAAGTTTTGGGAAACAGTCAAACTGTATCCAAACCACAGTATGGAACCAAGTATGTAATTCTTTTTCTCTGCTTTGGGGGGGGGCAGTACTAAGGATCCAGCCCAAGGCCTTTGTTCTGAACTCGGCAGATCCCCAGCCTTGCTTTCTTTTTTTCTTTTCCTTTCTTTCTTTTCTTTGTATTTTTAGAGAGGGGTCTACAGGGTATTCAGGGTCTCACTACTAGATCAGACTCGTAGTGATCCACCTGTTTACAGCCTCCCAAGAGCTGGGATTACAGGTGCGCACCACCAGGCCCAGTCTCAGTTGTCATCCCAGTGCACCCTGGGGGCGGGGCTGGCATGGCAGGCCCTGGGTTGAACCCCCAGCTTAATTGCTTTCATTTTTTACTCAAGATAGCATCTCACTAAGTCATTTAGTCGCTCAGCCTGGGTTTGAACTGACAAAGTCCCAACAGTTTCAGCATTGCTAAGCCACTGTGGAGACCAGGTGTGGTGGCATGCACAGGTAATCCCAATGCTGGGGAGACTGAAACAGGAGGATCACTATGAGTCTGAGCTGCATAGTGAGACCCTGCACGAAATACATTAAAAAAAAAAAAAAAGAAAGAAAGATTAGCGTAGCTGCCCTGTAAGGGAACAGTGGGGCCCCACTCTTTCCTCTTTTTCTCTTTTGCTTCTGGGTCACAGGGGAGCTGTTTCCCTTTTCCCAAAGGCTCCCACCATGATCAACTGGCTTCTACAGACCCTGACCACAGGACCCAACTGATCACGTCACACCCTCCAAATCTATGAGCCAAGAAGCTCTCTCCTTTTTTTATCCCCTCCCTCTCCCCCCGGGTCTTGGGGATTCAACTGAGGATCTTCACATAGAGCTCCTTCTTAGCCCTTTGTTTTATTTTTTATTTATTTTTTGTGGAATCTTTATTTTATTTTATTTTGACACAGTGTCTTACCCAGGTTGGACTTGAAATTTTCCTTCCTTATCCTTTCAGGATACTGAGATTAGAGGCCAGCACTACCAAACCCAGTCTCTCTCTCTCTCTCTCTCTCTCTCACTCACTCTGTGTGTGTGTGTGTGTGTGTGTGTGTGTGTGTGTGTGTGTCTGTCTGTCTGTCTGTCTGTCTGTCTGTCTGTCTGTCTATCTGTCTCTGAGACTAGGTCACCCTATGCAGTTCAGGTTAACCTTAAGCTCCCTTTAGAGCCCAAGCTGGTCTCAAACTCACAACAGTCCTCCTGCCTTGGCCTCCCAAGGGTTGGGCATGCCCAGATTTTTGTTGTTTGTTTTTGAGACAGGGTCTGATGATGTGGTTTAGGCTGACGTCAATCCCAGCCTCTTCCAGCCTCAGCCTTCCGAAGGGCTGGGATTGCAGACGTGCATCACTGGGCCGGGCCCAAGCCTTTCCTCAATATAAGCTGGTATTGTGTTGGAAGGATGGAAAGTGAGTGTAGGGCAGAAACTGCCAGAGAGAGACGCACCAGACGACTCCTCAGACCGCCAGAGGTGACCAACCCCGATTATATGTGGATGTTGGACTTCTGGCTTCTAGAACTGTGAGAATACATTTCTTCAGGTTAAGCCACCGAGCCTGTGGTAATCTATTACGGCTGCCGTGAGAAAGGAAGAAAATGACAAAATGGCTGTCAGAACAATGAATTCCACCGGGGGCAAGGAAAGGCTGAGAGACTTGCACAGGCCAGAGGAGAACAAAGCGGGATGAAGGTATGTTGTTCAGTGCGATCCCGGAAAATGGTAACCTTTACAGGAAATATGTGATTCAGTTAATGGCATTATAGGGTATCCACTTCCTGGTCTTGATAACTGGGTGGCTCATACTTAGGGGAGACATTAACATCCGGGGGGCTGGATACAGGTGCACTCTGGGGCTCCCCAAGGGTTTTTTTTTGTCAGATCATCTCTTTATTGATATATTTTCTTTTGCTTAGCTAGCTGGACACTCCACAATGCCATTGTTGATGTCATCTATGATGTCATGAGGGTGCCGGCTGTCCACGTTGCAGCCCACAGACTGGGCGGTCCCCAGGATCTCCTTAATGGTTCTGGAAAGTTCTCTGGCTAAAGACTGGTGCTGCATCTGTCTGGCAATATTGACAATCTCATCAAAAGTGATATTTCCACTGTGTTTAATGTGATATTTCCACTGTGTTTAATGTTTTTCTGCTTCTTTCTGTCTCTTGGTGGCTCCTTGAGGGCTTCGATGATCAGGGCAGAGGCAGAAGGCACCACCTCAATCTGAGCCTGTCTGTTCTGTATTTTATTTTTATTTATTTATTATGTGTGTGTGTGTGTGTGTGTGTGTCCAGCTCAGCCCACCAGGGGGCAGGGCTGGCTGGCATGTGGTGCTGGGGGATTGAACCGCGGTCCCTGTGCTTTGCTTTGGTTTTTTTTTTTTTTTTTGCGGAACTGGGGATTGAACTCAGGTCCTTGCGCTTGCCAGGGAAGCACTTATTGCACTGAGCCATCTCCCCGGCCCTGTGCTTTGCTAAGCTTGTTCTAAGTAGGTGCTTTAGACCACTGAGCCATCTCACCAGCCCGAGCCTGTCTGTCCTGAATGGTCAGTTTCACCGTGATCCATAGGCCCTTCCAGTCACCAGTTGCCTTGGCAATGTCATCCCCCACTTTTTTTGGAGACAGACCCAAGGGACCGATCTTGGGGGCCAGGGCAGACGTGGCGCCAACTTCACCACCGGTGCACCTCAGGTACACGACTTTAATCTCATTGGGGTCGAACTTGGGCGGCATGCTGGAGGTGGCTGGTGTCGGATGAACCCAGATTTGGGACGACCGAAGAAAGTTGCACCTTAGCCTCCTCCTAGCCGAAAGCTGAAAGCTCCCCAAGTTATTTTTATAGCTTTCCATAAAGTTAATTTTTTTTTTACATTTATTTAGTGTGTGTGTGTGTGTGTGTGTGTGTGTGTGTGTGTGTGTGGCCAGCTCAGCCCACCAGGGGGCGGGGCTGGCTGGCATGTGGTGCTGGGGGATCAAACTGCGGTCCCTGAGCTTTGCCAAGCTTGTTCTAAGTAGGTGCTTTAGACCACTGAGCCATCTCTCCTGCCCCCATAAAGTTAAATTTTTTTCCAAATTAAAACTTGACCCGGGACCGGGGAGATGGCTCAGTGGAATAAGTGCTTCCGTAGCAAGTGCAAGGGCCTGAGTTCAATCCCCAGTTCCACAAAAAAAAAACCAAAAAACAAAACCAACTTGATCCCTGGCAAGCACAAGGGCCTGAGTTCAATCCCCAGGTCTGCAAAAACAAACAAACAAACAAACAAACAAAAAACCCAACAACTTGAGGCTGGGTGTGAGACTGAGGCAGGAGGATTGCCATGAATTCAAGGCCAGCATGGGCTACACAGTTCAAGCTAGTCTGAACAGCACAGTGAAACATCATCTCAAAACAAAACCCCACGTTGTTCTATCTTTCTTCCTACAAACACTGCCATTAAGACTCAGAACACGTGGTCTGAGGCTTAGCTGAGTTCTGTCCCTGTGTGTGAAGGTGTCAGAAGGCTGGCCTGCAGACCCCACAGCCCCTCTTTCCCCTCTCCCCACCTCCAGCTCTGCCATGTGGTATGAGGGTCTTGTGTCACCCCTGGGAACACTCCAGAGGATACACCCAGGCTCCCCCGTCACTTCCTATCACCCCTAGAGAAACCCCTTGCAACTCCTCAGGTCCTGCAGAAGGAGAGGGGGCAGACTAGAGTCCCAGACTCCCATAGTGAGGTCTTGGAGAGCCAGCCTCACTTCTGGGCTCCTCACGTCCCTCCTCCTCTGATTCTCTGTCCCTTGAGAATGGCTGCACCCAGATGACAGCCAGAGCTTTGCAATCACTGCTTGAAAGGGTTGTGTCCCCAGGGTATTGGTCAGTGCTCCATTGCTGGAACCCAACACTCAACTACCCACAGGTTAGAGGGAGAGAGGCTTGATTTGGCTCATGATTGCAGAAGGTGCTGTCTGGGGTCAGGAGGCTGCAGGGCGGGAGCTCCATGGTGAAAGGGTGTGCGGGGGCACAGCTGCTTGTGTCATGGGCAGCTCCCAGAGTGCACTGTCACTCCCAAAACTCACGTGCTGAAATCCTAACTCCTTTGGGGCTGCAGCTCAGTGGTAGAGCGATTGTCTCACATGTCTGAGGCCTTGGGCTCCACGGCCAATACTGAAAAAAAGAAAAAAGAAGAGGGAAGGAGAGACTATCTGGCAGGATGACTAGAGGCAGCCCTCATGAGTGACATTGTACCTGCAGTGTTGCGTACGTCTTGTCTCCATGGAAACACATAGGGAGGTTTGGCCCTCAGTGTAGTGGCAGTGAGAGGTGGAAGGGCCTTTGCAAGGCATCGGAGGGGTGGGGTGCTGCTTGTATAGCAAACTTCGACCCCTGGTTCCTATCCCAAGTATCCCAGAAGGGTGCCTGAGGTCCTGAGGCTCTGGGCTCACCCATGAGAAATGCTACTCCTGAGAAGGCGCAGCTCCTCCCGGAATTCACTGTATTTCCTCCTCCGCTGACACCCACCATCCTTCCAGTTCAGCCCTGTGTTCCGGAGCACATGGCCTGCACCAAGAGTGGACAGTGGCTACGGCCCACTCCTGGAGCCTCCGTCCCCTAGAGGGAACTAAACCTCTTGTCTAAGTTCCCCACTCTCATACTTTCTGTTACAGTACCAGAAAGTGGCCTTCAGCGGCGCCTCTGGGAGCTCAGCTGACTTTTCCACCGTGTGAAGAAGACACAGCAAGATGCGGTCACCACCAGTGCACCAGGCTGTAGCTGCACCACACGACAAACCCTGGAGCACCTCCCCCAGCACTAAAATCCAGCTGGCTGTGCCTATCATCCCAGCCCAGAGGGAGGCTGAGGCAGGAAGGTCACAAGTTCCAGCGAAGTTGCCCATGCTGGACAAAGTTGTGATTCTCCTGCCTCGGCCTCCTACGCGCTGGATGGCAGGCATGTGTGCCACCACACCGGCCTCCTTCCTGACTCTGCAGAGAGAACAGGGCACAGAAGCTGGTTGTAGAGACGCATCCTTTCTCAGGTAGAGATCATGTCCCCGAACATAACCGTCAGCATCCACGGTTCACACGCCTGTGTGTTGGTTTAGAAATGACACAAGCACACACATGCACTTAGACCGCACTGGTGCGCCATGTGAATCAGAGACCACACGAGGAAAATAGGCCCAAGGCAGGATGACACAAGCAAGTGAAACTACAAATTATAATTTTTCCCTATACCACTAACTCTGTGTGTGTGTGTGTGTGTGTGTGTGTGTGTGTTTTCTTTTCAGTGCTGGAGATGGAATTCGGACTTGCACATACTAGGCAAGCAGCCCTCACTGAGCTGCAGGCCCAGCCTTTTTTATTTTTTAGTAAAAGCATCTTGCTGGGGCTGGGGAGATGGCTCAGTAGACTAAGTGCTTCCCTGGCAAGCCCAAGGCCTGAGTTTGATCCCTGGTTCCGCCAAAAAAACCAAAAAGATAAAAATAGGGGCTGGGGAGACGGCTCAGTGGAATAAACGCTTCCCTGGCAAGTACAAGGACCTGAGTTAAATCCCCAGTTCCGCAAAAATAAATAAATAAAAATAAAATTATCTTGCTGAGTTGCCCAGGCTGGGCTCAAACTTGCAATCCTCCTGCCTCAGCCTCTGGAGTAACTGAGATTACAGGTTTGGACTATCATGCCAACACTGAAGCTAAGCGCTTTTGTTTATTTTTTATTTATTTATTTTTTTAATAATAGGTATTTTATTTATTGTGTGTGTGTGTGTGTGTGTGTGTGTGTGTGTGTGGCCAGCTCAGCCCACCAGGGGGCGGGGCGGGCTGGCATGTGGTGCTGGGGGATGGAACCCCGGTCCCTGTGTTTTTGCTTAGCTTAGCTTGTTCTAAGTAGGTGCTTTAGACCACTGAGCCATCTCACCAGCCCCATTGTTTGTTTATTTTTGAGACAGCATCTCACTCTGTAGTCCAGGCTGGCCTCAAACTCAGAACGATCCCCCTGCCCAGGGCACCATGTAACTAGTGCTGCCGGTGAGATGAAGTCTTCACTTGCAGACTGAAGCAATAAGCAGTTCCTTTGAAGTCTGGTGTCTTGTTTTTCACTGTTCTGATAGCCTTGGGGACCTACAGCCCTGTTTCACCCAGTAACACAGGTGCAGCTCAGTGGGAGGAGTTACTGCCACCCTTCCACAGTCCAGCAGGGTCACTGCAGAGGTCAGCAGCTCCTTGAACACTTCAAGGCAGGCAGCAGAAGCGGAGTGTGGTGGCACACACCTAAATCCCAGCACTTAGGAGGCTGAGGCAGGAGGATCATTGGCAGTTTGAGGCCAGCCTGGACTACAGAGTGAGCTCAAGGCAAGCCTGAGCTACAGAGCAAGACCCTGGGGATTGAACTCAGGTACTTGCACTCGCCAGAGAAGCACTTATTCCACTGAGCCATCTCCCCAGCCCTCCCTTCTGTATTTTTTAAAATGTATGAGTTCAATCCCCGGTTCTTAAATAAATAAATAAATAAATATTTAGTACAAGTTCTACAGGATCTCACTACACAGATCAGACTCATAATGATTCTGTTTTCAGCTTCCCAAGTGCTGGGATTACAGGTGTGCGCCACCACACCTGTCTCATTTGTCTCAGCGAGCCCTGGGGGCAGGGTTGGCACCTCATCCACTTTGCTTCGCTCTGCCTAAGCAGGTGCTTTAGTCCGCTGAGCTAGCTGGCTGGCCCTTTTTGTATTTTTTGAGATCGGGTCTTGCTGTGTACCCCAGGCTGGATTCGAACTCACTATGTACTCCAGGCTAACTTCAAACTCCTCGTGATCTTCCTGCTTCACTGTCTCTGAATGCTGGGATTAAGGTGTGCATCCCATGCCCTGTTTTTCCTTCACTTTGGTTGGATCCACAGCTGCGCAACCACAGGATGTGGAGGACAGAGAGAAGCCTGTTTCTGCCTTAACCAGGGTGGATGCACCCCGGCCCCACATGGGAATGGCTCCCCAACCCCAGCAGTTGTGTCCCACCTGGACTGCATGCTAATAGGCCCCACCCCCACCCCACCTTCCCGTTTTTGAAGGTGTTCCAATACCAGTCACGGGGTCTCCCTGTAGAAATCACAGTTCACCCCAGCCTCCGCTCCCGGTGCTCCCCTGCAGGACTCTGCTTGCTGCATCCTCCCCCTCAGGCTGTGGGTGTACGTGAAGAACTAATTGATGTCACCCTGGGGGTGGGGCACACACCTGTCATCCCAGCACCTAGCCCAGGCTGAGGCAGGAGGGCTTGTAAATTCAATTGAGCCTGGGTTTTTTTTTTTTTTTTTTTTTTTTTTTGCAGAACCAGGGATTGAACTCAGGCCCTTGTGCTTGCCAGGGAAGTGCTTATTCCACTGAGCCCTCCCCAGCCCCGAGCCTGGGTAATTTAATGAGACCCTGTTACTATTACTACTACTACTACTACTACTACTAATAATAATAATAGGGCCAAGAATGTTGGTTGGTGCAAGGATCCTATGTTCAATTTCAAGAACAATAAAAGAAAAAGAATAAATGATGTCAATCTCATGTTCCTCGTGTTAAGAGTTGTGTTTAGGCTTTTCATAATATTTAATTTGTATTTATATTTTTGGGTACAAGGAATCGAACTCAGGACCTTGCACTTGCCAGGCAGGTGCTGTGCTGCTGAGCTATATCTCTGGCTTCTCTTTAATGTAAGGATCCCTCCTTCACCCAAGAGGTAAAAAGTGATCAAACTACCAGTTGATTCAGAGGTGGCGTGACATTTTTTTTGCACTGAAGAGCCAGTTTGCTTTTATCTTGTGACTTCACCATTCAAGGCCTCTATTCCCAAACTAATGTCATGGTCCAAAAGGGCGGCTGGAGTTCCAGCAATCACATTGACATTCTAATAGCAGGAAGTAGAAAAGCATCCATTTGTTCCTCAAAGTGGTGCATACCACTTCTGCCTGTATCTGGTCTGTTAGAATTTAGTCATTTGAGGAGCCGGGGAAATGGCTCAGTAGGATAAGAGCTTGACTGGCAAACTCAAGGATCTTGAGTTCAATCCCCGGTTCCGAGGGAAAAAAAAAAAAAAAAAAAAGTCATTTGGCCACGCTTGGGAACAATTGAGGCCGAGGCTGGGAAATGTAGACCTTTTTCCAGAAAGTCATAGGTTTGGTAAATGTCAATAATTTATGGATGGGTGGGCTGGTGAGATGGCTCAGTGGTCTAAAGCACCTACTTAGAACAAGCTTAGCAAAGCAAAGCACCTACTTAGAACAAGCTTAGCAAAGCACAGGGACCGCGGTTCAATCCCCCAGCACCACATGCCATCCAGCCCCGCCCCCTGGTGGGCTGAGCTGGCCACACACACACATACACACACACACACACACTAAATAAATAAATGTTTAAAATAAATAAATAAAAATAAAATAAATTAAAAAAGATATATTGGAGCTGTAGACAAAAGAAAAAAAAATAATTTATGGATGGGGCCGGGGAGATGGCTCAGTAGGATAAGTGCTTGACCGGCAAACGCAAGGATCTGAGTTCAATCCCTGGTTCCGCCAAAAAAAAAAATAAATAAAATAAAATAAAAAATTATAGAGTGGTCCTGATTATGAACAAATCATCAGCCACAGGCAGGTGTAATATACCCTAATGCTGGTGACAGTAGGCTCTGCTGGGCATTGGGATCTTATTGGTAGCATATCCTCCTCCATCAGTGGCACAGTAATCCGAGCACCGGAGCTGAAAAATCAAGACTTCGGCGCTAGCCAAGAAAGAACTGTTTCCTGTTGGGCTGGGCTGGGCTGGGCTGTGCAGGGCGGGGCCGGATAATGGAGAAGGAGGGCCCTGTATTGCCAGGAGACAAGACCAGAGGCTTATTTTATGTGAGTGATGAGGCTTGTAGCCAATCATCACAGTCTATCCTTTGGCCACAGGGATTAGTTCTGATTGGCCTTGTGCAGAGCTAAGCCAATGAGATTCAAGCTTGGGACTTTTTGCTTAAGTGGGAGTTGTCTGCAGGTTGTTGCAGGGTGCAGGGACATCTCAGAGTCCAGAACTGAGCAAGAAGCCACCTGGACGGCACCATTTGAGTTCAGGATCGGCGCAGTAGCTTAGCTCCCAGGGCTCTGCGACTCTGCTGGGGAGGCCAAGGTGCTTCTGCCCCCTGCCCAGCCAGTGGCTGCTGGCCTCACAGGGAGAGCTTGGGGTGGACCATGTTGTTCCCTACAGCCAGAGCTAAAAGCTGTCTCCTATCCTACCCCATAAGGAGGTTGCTCACCCAGTCCTGGGACATGTGGACAGATGACCTTTCGTCCTCTGTGGATGCGAGGGTTAATAGAGACACCCTCTTGTTGTTCTCTCCACACAGGGAGGGGACCCAGAGGAGCTCTACCACAACCCCTTTTATTTTGAGACAGGATTACATCAGGTTGCCCAGGCTAGCCTTAACCTGGCAACGCTCCTGCCCTAGCCTCCTGAGAATACAGAAATATAGGTATGCACAACCACTCCCCAAAATAATTCATTGTTTATAGTGGTGCTGTCTCTTCAGGCTTCACCAACCCACAGCAGCCTTCTGAGATGAACTTAGTCTCAAACTCTGCTTCTGGGAGACTCCAGCCTCTGCCCCACACAGGCTGGGAAACCTCCTGCTACCTTCCCTAACTTGTCAAGATGAGCCCTCAGGGTATGCAGATGTCATTCTTAGGACTTCCCAGGATGGTGGGGCACTCCTATAATCCAGAGACTCTGGCAAGCTGAGGCTGGAGGATCACAGGTTGGAGCCCAGCCTGGGAAATTTAATGATCTATCAAAACCTTATCTCAGGGGCTGGTGAGATGGCTCAGTGGTCTAGGGCACCTACTTAGAACAAGCTAAGCTAAGCAAAATCACAGCGACCGGGGTTCAGTCCCCAGCACCACATGCCAGCCAGCCCCGCCCCCTGGTGGGCTGAGCTGGCCACACACACACACACACACACACACACAAAAAAAATAAAAAAAATAAAAAAAAAAAAAAAAACCTTGTCTCAGGGCCTGGGAGATGGCTCAGTAGGATAAGCACTTGACCGGCAAACGCAAGGATCTGAGTTCAATCCCCTGTTCTGCAAAAAAAAAAAACGAAAAAAACACCTTGTCTCAAAACAAACAGGGGGGCCAGGGAGGCCATGGAGATAGCTCAGCTGCATAAGTGCCTGCCTGGCAAGTGTAAAGAACCTGCCTTCCATCCCCAGGACCATGCAAAACAACAAAACCTTTTTTCTGTCACCCTGTTTCCTAGGTGGAAAAGTTGAGGTCCAGGCAGGCAAATGAGTCAGCCCAGGCACGGTGCTGACATCAGAGATGTGTGGGTGCCAGCCCTCATGTGTTAGCATTACCACCTTAAGACTTATGTCACTCCTGGGAGGGAGGGTGGCCACCGCCCCACTTCAGGGAGAGAAAAACTGAGGTCCAGAGAGAAGGAGAGCCAAGACTCAGGCCAGGTGGGCTGGCACTGAACCGTCCCCATAGCCACCAAGCTGGTGCCCCCTCCATGTCATTTCCTCTCAGCGGCTGTGGCTGCTGGGGACTGGGTAGCTGGCTGCCAGGGAGGCCATCTGGAGAGAGGAGGAGGGGCTCCTATGGTGACCTGAGTGAGGGCCTCAGGCCAAGCCAGGCCTCCCTGACCCTAGCTGCTGGCCTCCGCTCCTTTGGGAGCAGCCTAGACCCCCCTCTGTCCCAACCCGTGGGCCTGTGGTTGGTCGGTCAGTCCGCCCAAATACCAGACAGCAAATTTCAGCTTTGTCTCCAACATTCCTGGTTCCCGCGGCCCAGCCAGGCTGGCTGAGGTTACAGAAGCAGAGCTGGGGGTGGGGGGGTGGTGAGGGAGACCAAGGGGACGGTCTTGCCTGGCCTCACCACCCCATCCATCTGCCCGCTGCCCTCCCCAGGGCGGGGAAGGGGTGGGCCGGCTCCCTCGAGCCCTGGAGAAGGCTGTGTATGGGGGTGGTGGCTCTGCCGAGATGCTGAGGGAGGTGGTGGTCACACCAGGGACTCCAGGAGGTGACTGCCTGGTTTACATTCAGGCGGGCAAGGAGGCAGAGCGGGGCTGGCAATGGTAAGGTGGGCAAATAGGGTCTGAGGGTGGGACCTGACTGGCTCTGCTGCTGCCCACTGCTTCCTTCCCTGATGGGGGATGCTCTGGTCACCATGACGACCCCATGCCTTGCTGGGGCACACACTGAGCCTTCCCTCCATCCCTAGCGGCTGATCCTGCTGCTGCCACTGCTGCTGTTGCTGCTGCTGCTTCTGCTGCTGGGCCCTCTGCCTGTTCCTGGCATGGAGGACCCTGACTTCCCCCACCCAGGAGAGAGTTCACAGCCCCCACCCCGGCCCTGTCCCTGGCGCTGCTCTTGTCCCCAGCCTGACGTGGTGGACTGCGCGGGGCTGGACCTGCGTATATTTCCTGACAATATCACCAGGAAGGTCCGGTACCTTTCCCTGCAGGTAGGGCTGAGGAAGGGGTCACCTAGGGGTGACAGGGAGAGGAGGGGAGCAGTGTGGGAAGTGAGGGTGGGGGTACCCCTGTGCAGGAGGTGGCTGTGGGCAGTGGTGGAAGTGCACCCTTGTCATCCCAGTACTCTGGGAGGCTGAGGAAGGAGGGTCACAAGTTCGAGCCCAGCCCAGGCAACTCAGCAACTTAGTGAGTCCTTGTCTCAAAATAAAAAATAAAGACAGGGCTGGGGCTGGAGCTCAACACAAAGGACCTGGGTTCAAGCCTTAAGAGTGAGAAAAAAAAAATTACAAAGAAGAAAAGTTGGCCTTGCATGTGGGAAGGGAACGAGTGGGGGGATGAAGTTTGTGGGGGTGGAAAGAACTAAGGTTTGGGGTCAAGATTGTGGAGTCGTGGGATTGTTTGAAATCAATAGGATAAGGTATTTGGGGGTGATTGTTGAGACGTGGGGGGATCAACAGCTTGGCAGTTGAGGGCTTGAGACTGATTGTGGGTGGTATGGTGCTAAGTCCAGGTCTTAGGATGTGGTTAGGATTGTTTAGGGTCAGTATGGTGAGGCACTTGTACCCCCAAAAGGGAAACTGAGGCTCAGGGAGATGGTGGGCAGAGCCCAGGTGCAGGCCAGGGGCAGCAGGGGCAGCTGGCACTGTGCCCATGAGGTTTGTGGGCAGGCATTATCTTGGAAACAGTGGTTTTGTTTCATTTTGTGTATGGCCCTGGGGATTGAACCTAGAGCCTTCACCTGGAGCCACAACCTCAGCCCTTTTATATTTTTTATTTGAGACAGAGTTTTGCTAAGTGACTAAGTTTCCCAGACTGGGTTCAAACTCAAGATCCTCCTGCCTCAGCCTCTGGGAGTGATGAGATTACAGACAGGAGCCACTGTGGATGGCTGGATACAGGGTTGTTTGGGGGTTGACTGTAGTAACAGTGTTGGGTTGCAATGCTTGGCAGTCCCAAGGCTGTCTGGAGGGTGTCTGGGATTACAGTGGAGGCTGGGGCTTGGTGCTGAGTGGGAATTCAGCATCGAGACTCAGGTCGCGGTGCTGGTGAAAGGTCATCGGGGTCAGAGTGTCTGTCCCCTCCCCTCCAGAACAATCGGCTCCAGGAGCTCCCCTACAATGAGCTGTCCCGCCTCAGCGGCCTGCTTACCCTCAACCTGCACAACAACCTCATCTCTTCAGAGGGTGAGGGCGTGGGGTGGGCAGGCAGTTCCCGAGGTCCCCTCTACCCTCCGTGTCCCCGCCTCCGGGCAGCTCTGAGGTGGCACTTCCCAGAAGCAGCCTCTGCTGAGAACAGAAACCTGGGTTGCGGCGGCTGCGGCTGCGGCTCCGGAGGAAGGTTGGGGCCCGGCGCCCGCGGCCCTGAGAGCAGCCCCGCCTGGCCTCACTCGCCCCGCCCCGGCCCGCCCCCAGGCCTGCCCGACGAGGCCTTCGAGTCCCTCGAGCAGCTGCAGCACCTCTACGTGGCCCACAACCAGGTGAGCCTGAGCCCCGCGTGCGCCCGCCCGGGAGGTGGGGGGCGGCACCGCACAGGACTGGCGCTATCGCTCCCGCAGCTCTCCGTGGCCCCGCAGTTCCTGCCCCACTCGCTCCGCGTGGCTGATCTGGCTGCCAACCAGGTGACGGAGATCTTCCCGCTTACCTTTGGGGAGAAGCCGGCCCTCAGGTAGCCCTGGCTCCCACCCTCAGATGTCTGGGGAACCAGTGGTATGCTGAGACTACTCTGGGGATGCTGGCGGGGGGGGGGGGGGGGGGGGGGCACAAATCTGCACTGGGGGCCTAGGGATCTGAGGACCCCGTGAAGGGTGGGGAACTCTAGGACCAGGCCCTAGCACCCTTGCGGGCATGCGAACTCACACTCAGGACCCAGTGTGGCTGGGCACGGGCAGCGGGGCGTGGTCGCCGCAGCCTGGGTGCCCTCAGGTCCGTGTACCTCCACAACAACCAGCTGGGCAACGCCGGCCTCCCACCTGACGCCTTCCGAGGCTCCGAGGCCATCACCACCCTCAGTCTGTCCAGCAATCGGCTCAGCTACCTGCCGCCCAGTCTGCCCATCTCACTGGAGCGGCTGCACCTGCAGGTGTCCACCCTCACCACCCATGCTATACCCAGGCTCTCCCAGGGGGACCCCTTTGCCTGGCTTTGCGTCCTTCCAGTGCCCCTTCCCCCCAGTTCCAACAAGAACCTTCCTCAGAAGCTCTCCTACTGCGTCGCTGGAGGCGAGCTACTGGCCCTCCCCGCCCCTCAGGATCCATCTGTGGCTCCCCACTGCCCTCTGTCTCAGGCCCTGTACTGTCTCCCTTCTCCAGAACAACCTCATTTCCAAGGTGCCCCGAGGGGCCCTGAGCCGCCAGACCCAGCTCCGAGAGCTGTACCTCCAGCACAACCAGCTGACAGACAGTGGCCTGGATGCCACCACCTTCAGGTGGGCCTGCGGCTGGGCGGGCTGGGGCACAGTTGGAGCTGGGCACTTACTGTCTTACTGTCACCACCTTCACTTCCTCCCCTGCACGCTCACCCAGGCCTTGCTTGCTGAGTGCTTACTCTATCTCAGCCTCATATTGGCACTGAGACGGGATCATGTTCCCTACCAGTTTGCACTGAGGCTTTCTCTGTTCATGTCATTGGCTACTGAACCTGAGGGCCTTCCACCACTGAGCTAAATCCCCTGCCCATTTTATTTCAAGACAGTGTCACTAAATTGCCCGGGCAATATTCAAATTGAGATCCTTCAACATCAGCCTTCCTTGCACCCCAAAGGTTTTTCCTTTTCTTTACCCAGCATCACAGCTGCATACGCACTTCTGCAGGGCCCAGAATTTTTCTGTGGTTACCCCCACAGCTACCTTCAGGGTGGAGCCTTTCCTGAGCACCCCAAGTTTGTGTTCCACCCTGTTCTCTCAGGCATCACCCCAGCTGAATCTGTCTCAGGACCCCTCCCTGTGAGATCTGGCAGCCCCTTTCTCTGGGCACACAGCCTAATGCCCACCTTCTCTCCTGGCAGCAAGCTACGGAGCCTGGAGTACTTGGATTTGTCACACAACCAGCTGGCTACAGTGCCTGCTGGCCTGCCCAAGACCCTGACCATCCTGCACCTGGGCCGCAACCGCATCCGGCGGGTGGAGGCAGCCCGGTTGCGTGGCGCCAGGGGTCTGCGGTACCTGCTGCTGCAGCACAATGAGCTGGGGGCCACAGGGCTACTGGCCAAGGCACTACGCCCGCTGCGGGCTCTGCACACGCTACACCTCTATGGAAACCGGCTGCAACGTGTGCCCCCTGGACTGCCACGCCGCCTGTGGGCCCTGCTGATGCCCCACAACCATGTGGCTGCGCTCGGTGCTCGTGACTTGGCCTCCATGCTGGGCCTGGCTGAGCTCAACCTGGCCTACAACCGGCTGACCAGCACCCACCTGCACCACCAGGCCTTCCACCACCTTCACACTCTGCGCTGCCTCGACTTGGCTGGCAACCAGCTGACTCGGGTGCCTGAGGGCTTGCCCGGAGGCCTGCGTGTCCTGCGCCTACAGCGCAACCAGCTGCGTACCCTGGAGCCCGAGTCACTGGCTGGGCTGGGCCAGCTGCAGGAGCTCAGCCTGGCACATAATCGGTTGCGCATCGGCGACATCGGGCCCGGCACGTGGCACGAGCTGCAGGCCCTTCAGGTCAGGATGGGTTCCCAGACTATCCCCACAGCCTGCCCAATGATACCATCGTGGCCCCCACATGGGCAGCCTGGGCTCAGAAGACACCTGCCCAGTCTCCAGGCCTTATCTGCTGTCCTTGCCTCCTATCCCCTCTAATGCCCTCTCCACCTCCCCGCACAGACTCTAATGTCCCACTTCTTCCCAGTGTCTCCATTTCAGAGTGTATCTGTGGGTGCGGGGCACTGTCCTAGTGCAAGAGGCAACTTCCACTCCTCACCACTCCAGACAGCTGGGTTGGACAGCAAGCCATCAAGGGCACACACACAGGCCAGGGGTGGGGGCAGGAGGTCCAGTCAGGTGGGACCCATCTGTCAGGCCCTGAGTGCAGAGAACAGGCCTGACCTGGGAAGGGACTCAGTTTACCTCTGTGCAGTGAAGGAATTTGGCAACCTAGAGGAGGATGGAGGGAGAGGAGAAAGGAGGAAGAGGAGGAAAGAGAGCTGGATGTGGTGGTATACATCTAGTTCTACAATTCCAGTACAGTACTCCAGGATGCTGAGGCAGGAGATTTCAAGTCCAAGCCCTGCCTAGGCAATTTACTGATTTACCAAGATCCTATCTCAAAATTTATAAAGGGGATTAAGGGCTCAGCATAAAGGCCCTGGGCTTAATCCCCAGTATGAGGGGGGAAAGGCAAGGTAGGGAGAAGAGGAAGCTTGGGGTCACCATGAGCCGTCTCCCTGGCCAGGTGCTAGACCTGAGCCACAATGAGCTGTCCTTCGTGCCTCCTGACCTGCCCGAGGCCCTGGAGGAGCTGCACCTGCAGGGCAACCGCATCAGCCACGTGGGCCCAGACGCCTTCCTCAGCACTCCCCACCTGCGTGCCCTCAGCCTCAGGTGCAGGACCAGTGCCGCAGGGGCGTGGCCGGGGAGTCAGGGCAGTGGGGTGCCAGTTAATGGGCATGGCATAAGCCCCTTTACCCACTTCTCCGCAGGGCCAACCGACTGCACATGACCAGCATTGCTGCCGAGGCCTTCCTAGGCCTCCCGCGCCTGCGCGTGGTGGACACTGCTGACAACCCTGAGCAGGTCCTGGTCCACCTGCCACCCACCGCCCCGCGTCAACCCCGGGCAGGAGATTTCTGAACCAGCAGACAGGCCCCAAGCCCTGGGGTTCAACAGAGCATGGATTGAGGGGACAGTGCCCAGCTGGGGCTCTGGGGCCACCACCACCAGGGTGGGGCAGATAGAGCTGGAGACAATAAAGTCCACCCCTTTCCAGAGCTCATCTGGGATCAGCGCCCTTCTTGCGGTTCTGCCACCACCCTACCCCTCATCCCTGGAAGTGAAACTGAGCCTCAGGGGTGCTAGGTAGAGCAGGGAATTGGGCCAGCAGCCTCTCCAGTGTGACCAGACTGGGTCTGAAGTTTGGACACTTGGCTGCCAAGCACCATGATCTATGCCCCAACACCCACAAGGCCCAAGGCTACCTGAAGAAACGGGCTGACACACGAATGGCAGCAACTCCTCATCCCACTTGCTCCTCTCTAGGGACCTGGGCTGTAAGGGAGCCTGGCGTGACCACTGCCACCCCAAGCAAGAAACAGGAGGGACAGAGCCGAGCTGGGTGTGGCCTGGCTGTTTATTCTGTGTCCAGGCCAGTGCAGTCCCAGGTGCCAGCCTTGGTGGCTTCTTTGGGGCATGGAGGGCTGTAGGGTTAAGGCCGGGGAGGGACAGGAGTAAAGTGCTTGCAGAGGCCCTGGGGCTTGGTCCCCACCGCCCTCCTGCTCTGGGGCAGCAAGGTGGGCACCCAGGGATGTGCAAACAGGACTCCGGCATGAGGGGGGAGTCCCTGGGGCCCTGTCAGGGTGCCCGGCTGGGCTGGGGGCCTGGAGAAGATGAGTCCAGAACTGATTGTCCGCTGATTGTCCTCTTGTCTTGGCTTGGTGGCCTAGGGCTCCTCCCTTCATCCAGGCTGCCTGTCCTGCCAGGACCTCACCTTCGGAGCCGCTGCAGCTGGGGACCACATGGGGAGGGGTCAAAGGGCCGAGACCACTGTAAGCGCCCCCCACTCACCTCCAGGCAGCTCACCTCATTTTCCACCAGGTTCCGCCGGTACAGCGCCTCCTTGGCAGCCTCCTGGGGAACAGAGGGACCACAGTGGGTTGAGGGGGTGCCTCTGCTGCCTGCCCTCCCTGCTGACCCTTGGACCCCTACTCACCCTGCTGCCGTCATTGCCCAGGCGCCGGGCAGCCTCTGTGTAGAACTGCAGCTGCCGTTCCAGTTGCGCTGCGTACTCTAGAGGGGGACACAAGGCTGCTGCCCTCCACACCGTGGGTGGCCCCACCCCTGCCCCCTGGATGCCCAACTCAAGCCCCCCCGCCCCCCAGAACGCCCATTCCGAACCCCGACTTTCTTTTTTCTTTTCTTTTTTTGGCAGAACTGGGGATTGAACTTGGGCCCTTGGGCTTGTGAGGGAAGCACTTATTCCACTGAGCCATCTCCCCAGCCCTGCCCCAACTTTCTTGATATGCATCCTGAAGCCCCTACCCCTTCGGATGCTAGCTCCCCCCTGCTCGAGCTGCACCCTCTGCCACTGGCTGCGCTGCACGATGTCTTGGTACTGCTGGGCTACCTCCGCAGGCACCGGCCGCCGTGCCTGCCTTAGAGCCAGGATCTGGGGAGGCAGAGGGGGGTGTGAGCTCCCAGCCCAGGGCCACACACACACACCCAGGCCTGCTATGCAGAGCCCAGAGGATAGGGACCTACCTTCCGTTCCAGCCGCTCCTGGTCAAAGGCCAGCACACTGAGGCTATGCAGTGGCCGGGCTGACCTAGGGGAAGTAGAAGAGATAGGGGCAGCAGGGAGTCCCCCACTATTCAATACACACACTGGGTATTGAGGCACCAGGGAAACAACTAAGACCCAGCCTGGGGGTGGTGCTGGCTGTACTCCCAGCCACTGTGAACCTGGTGCTTCCTGGAGGTGACAGCCAAGCTAGGATTAAGAAGACTGGGAACAAGGGAAGGGGAGAAAGGTCCTCAGGGGCTCGGAACACTCAGGAGAGCAGTGGAAACTACACATGGCTATGAGCCAACAAGAAGCAGTGAAGGAAGAGAAGTCTAGATAGACTGACAACGGCTCAGTCACAAAAAAGACCCTCTAGACGGGTGTGAGGTGGGTTTGTGGGCAGAAAAGGGCCAGTCTGGTTGGTGCCTGATGGGAAACCATTCCTAAGGACCTGTGAGATGCAGAGGGAATCTTCCCCATGCTGTGGCCCAGCTCCTACCTGTTCCCTGGCTCCCTAGAAGAGGCAGGCAGAAGAGGCGCCTTCCCTTTGGGTGCAGCAACCTGCTTCAGAGGAGAGACCCAGGCCTGTGAGTGCCAGTCGGTGGGCACCATGCTCCCTCCTGGGCGGGCGGCAGGCACTCACCGTGGGGGCAGCTGCAGGAGGGGGGTCTATGACCAGCCACCGCTCTGTGGTGGTCTCTAGCTGCTGGGCCGTCAGCGGCTCCCGGATCCTCACCATCACCTCCAGCCTCCCTCCTGTGGGCCGGCGACCATCCAGGACCTAAGTAAGAAGAGGGGACCCAGACATCCAGGAGCAGCTGGGTCAGCTGGGAGGCCAGCAGCAGGGAGGCCAGCGTCTGCTCACCTCCAGGATCTCGCGGACCTCACACGCTGTCTCCAGCGCGTCCAGCTTCAGCTGTGCTGTCCCCAGCACCCGGTCAGTCTTGAACAGCCCCCTGGGGGAGCAGAGCAGAGCAGCTGGCCCCATGCCCTGTGCCCCCAAACCCCACCCAGCTGCAGCCCCACTCACCCCTTGTGGACCACTTCAAACTTGATGCCCTTGGTCTGCAGAGCTCTGCGGAAGCCACGGTGGCTGCGGTTGATACAGAGTTTAAACTGCTCCTTGAACTCTAGGTGGGGAAGGAAGACAGAAGGGTCAGGCCTGGTCCTGGGCTCCTTCGCAGCTTCAGGACCACAAGGGGTGCCCCTGGCACACTCACCAGGGGAGTCCGTGTTCTTGACCACGCTGGTCTTGTCTTTCTGAGCTTCCTCCTGTGTTGGCAGAGGCAGGACAGATCTGAGCCCCATGTACGGCCTGGGACCCCCCTACCTGTCCTGCCTTCCTTGGCTGGCCACATACCACATTGGGATAGGGGAAGTCGAAGCGCACAAAGACGTCCAGGTCACCAGGGGACAAACCTGTAGGCAAGCCAGGTCAGAGCAGAAGTGGGGAGGGGTCCCCATCCCCCACTCACCTCCTGGCTGGCTCACCTGGGGGCGTGGGCAGGTTGATGCCCTTCACGATGAACAGGAGCATGTCATTGCTGCTGAGGTCAGGGAAGATCCTGGGGGTGTTGGTGGGAAGGAAAGAGAGGCACTTCAGCCCTGCCCCACCTATCCTCTCCCCATCCTCAGACCGGGCTGCAGGCAGAAAAACCCACCCTAGCCTCCAGGGCACCCTGAGCTTAAGAATCAGATAATGAGAGCTCCATGTTCAGGTCTGTCACTGTTGAACTCCTCGGGCCTTTCCTTAGTCTGCACACGTTTGGCACCTACCACACACAGGCCAGAGGGCTTGCTGCCACGAGCACCCCCCACTCCAGCTTTTTTCCAGTGCCAGGGACTGAACCCAGGGGCACTCTACCACTGAGCCACATACTCAGCCTTTTTTTATTGTTTGATTTGAAACAGGGTCTCAGCTACCCAGGTTGGCCCTGGACTTGTGATCCCCTTGCCTCAGCCTCCTGAGCACCACCATGCCTGGAAGGACCCTCCCTTTCTTTAGCAATATTTCTCAAGCTCTCTGTTATTCACTGACCACTGGTCCTGCTGTTGTGACCCTCTCTTCATAGGACAATATTTCTTGAGAACCCACTATGTGCTGGCTGGTAACTTAAGGACTGTGGGACCTTCTCATAATATTACTGCCAATGCACACACCTGCCAGGCAAGTACAAGGTCTTGAGTTAGATTCCTGCTACACCCTCTCCCAAAAAAATTCCTACAAGCACAGGCCAGTGCCCTATCCGCTGTGATGGGGGCTTCATACCTTTAAGAATAGTTCTTTCGGGGCTGGTGAGATGGCTCAGTGGTCTAAAGCACCTACTTAGAACAAACTAAGCTAAGCAAAGCACAGGGACCGCGGTACAATCCGCCAGCACCACATGCCAGCCATTCCCGCCCCCTGGTGGGCTGAGCTGGCCACACACACACACACACACACACAATAAATAAATAAATAAATAAATAAATAGTTCTTTCCTTTTTTTTTTTTTTTTTTGCAGAACTGGGAATTGAACTCAGATCCTTGCATTTGCCAGTCAAGTGCTTATCCTACTGAACCATCTCCCCAGCCCCAAGAATGTTTCTTGATCACCTACTATGCACTCAGCAGTGCCCCAGCTGTTGTACAAACTTCCCTTAATATCTCAAGCCCTACTAAGCACCAACCAGAGCCCCCACTGTTGAGGGACCTTCCTTTCATTTGATTATATTTCTTTTTCTTTCTTGGAGACAGGGTCTTGCTATTGAGTTCAGGCTCGTCCCTAACCCAGTCTGTAGCCCAGGCTGTCCTCTGAGGTGATCCTTCCAAGAGCCAGGATTACAGGTATGGTCGTACTTCGCTCTTTATTGTATTTCTTCAGCATCCAAGCTATAATAATCAGTGCCTGGGCTGCTTTAGGATCCCCTTTTACCTAATATTCCTTGAGTCCTACTAAGCCCCAGCCAGTGCCCAGCTACTGGGGACAAAAAGTAAACTGAGACAGACCCAAGCCTGTGCCCGGGAGCTGCTACTACTGCGACACCTAGTGAATTCATGATAGGAAAAGTATGCAACTCTGACAAGAATTCAGATGGGGGCAGAGCAGGGTGCAGGAGGGAATGCTTCACACAGTGGTTACAGAAGGCCCCTGGGGAGGTGATGGCATAGGTGATACCCAAAGATAAAGAGTTACCACGGGGGGGGGGGATTTGCTGGGGGCTGGGCAAAGGAAGCAGCAGGTACAGAGGCCCTGGGTGGGAGGGGTCTAGTTGGCAGCAAAAACCGAAGACAGCTCTGTGCCTAAGAGGCCAAGCAAAGGGGGACAGCTGGCAAAAAGGGGGTAGGAACCTGGGCCAGCTGTGTGCCCAATCTCATGGAGAGACACCATCCTGTCCTCAGGGCGTGGGATGCCTTAGCAGAAGCCAGGCTCAGTGACCACCAAACCAACACGCACCGCCACTCCCCATGGGTCACGGGCCCGCTGGACCAAGATACATCCTTGC